CCAATGTTTGAAATAAATACGCAGTTGAGCGCACGCTAGAAAGCCATATAATGGGATGTTATATTTACACAAACACATCCCACATCCTTACATCTCTGTGAGCATCCCAGGTCTGTTGCAACCTGTGAAAAGTCCTAAAAACAGTTTTAGGGTTTCTTCTGGTATTTTCTCTCTTTTCTTTTTTTTTAAATATTTTTATTTATTTATCTATTTATTATGTATACAATATTCTTTCTGCATGTATGCCTGAAGGCCAGAAGGGGGCACCAGATCTCATTACAGATGGTTGTGAGCCACCATGTGGTTGCTGGGAACTGAACTCAGGACCTTTGGAAGAGCAGGCAATGCTCTTAACCGCTGAGCCATCTCTCCAGCCCCCTTTCTCTCTTTTCTTAAGACTAGATTCTTCTAAAGTGAGATGGGACACAGTGTCAAAGTATCACAGAAACTGGATGATTGTGGGCGATCAGTAGGCTGCTCTTCAAATTCTCTCTGTCTAGAGGGATAGCCATCACTCCTGACCTGGGAAGGCAACTTGGTCTGACTGACATCCCCACAGTCCATGGGCAGCAAGTCTGAGACAAAGGGCCTCTAGTGCTGGGATCTGGGAAAGCCACTTCCCTCTCCTGGGTCCTGGGATGGGGGGAAGGAGCAAAGGATCTCCCTGGGGGACACCCTCAGGAAGTTCAGGGACTCACTATGTGGCTGAGGCTGGCCTTAATCATCCTGCTTCAGCCCTGAAGGTGCTGGATTATACCACTATATCAAGCTTTGGAGGACACTTTTTTCTTTTTTGAGACAGTCTCTGACCCAGGTTGGCCTCAAACTCCCTGTGTAGTCAAAGATGACTTTGAACTTCTTATCCAGTGCTAGGAATCAAACCCAGGGCCTCTTGCATGCTACATAAGCACTCTACCAACTGACCTATACCCCCAACCACGGGGAACACTTTGATAAGGACACCAGTCCCATTTCCCCATTTGTGAGGTTCCACATGGGACCTCATCACTTTTCAAAGGCCCTACATCTTGACAATAGTCACTTTTGGGGAAAGACTGGTAAAATGGGAATGGGGTGGGGGATAAACAATACACACTACAGTGGGGTGGTGGTGGTGCACACCTTTAAGCCCAGGACTCAGGAGGCAGAGGCAGGCAGATCTCTGTGAGTTAGAGGCCAGCCTGGTCTACAAGAGCTAGTTCCAGGACAGGCTCCAAAGCTACAGAGAAACCCTGTCTCAAAAAAACTACAAAAAAGAAGAAGAAGCAGAAGAGAAAGAAGGAGAAGGAGGAGGAGGAGGAGGAGGAGGAGGAGGAGGAGGAGGAAGAGGAGAAGAGGAGGAAGAAGAGGAGGAGGAGGAGGAGGAGGAGGAGAAGGAGAAGGAGAAGGAGAAGAAGAAGAAGAGAAGAAGAAGAAGAAGAAGAAGAAGAAGAAGAAGAAGAAGAAGAAGAAGAAGATACTGTAATTATTAATCACTGGGATCTCAAATTTTTTCCAGACATAATTTTCTGCCTTTCAGGCATCTTGCGAAGTCCAAGCTGCCAGCCAGCCAGTTCCTCAGAGCCCAGAAAATACAACAGTAATCAGCCACCCCAGGACGTGGTCAAGCATCTCAACTCCTCGATGCCCACAAAGTCAGTGTGAAGCAGTCGCGAGAGACCTTACAACGCTCCATTCCCATCCATTAAGATCCCTCAACCCCCCCCCAATAATAAACAAAAGAGTGGAATGTAATTATTCAGCCACAGATAAGGCTGCACTTCCGGATTCTAAAGGCAGGCACATGCGGACGGACCCTTGGACCCCGCATAATCCACGTGCGTGCATGCATGCGTGGTTACCTCCACGTGTGACTCAACTAAAACCCTTGCACACATGCGTGAGTTGCCCATCTGCGTAATCAGTGTATAACATAGTCACGCCAACCCCCTGTGCACATGTGCTAGGAAGCTTTTAAAAACTGGATGTGCCATTTCTCTCTCTCTCTCTCTCTCTCTGCACACCAATTCCCAGGCCTGTACGCACTCCCTCTAATAAACTCCTAAGCGGGTTTGTTTGTGTTCCGTGTTTCCTTCTCACTCACGCCAGGTAATTTTACATACTACAGTCATCTATAGACACAGAAAAGTTAAAACATGAGTCAACTTGGCTTGCTTGAGGTTCTGTGTTTAATCCCAAAAACGAACAAAGAGCTTATGTCTATTAGCCTCTCTGGCCCACCTCTTCATCCATCCCCCTAGCTCCTCGGCTCAGGTGCAAGTGGCCTTCATATGCCATGCCCTCTCCCTGGAATCTTTTCCTTCACAGGTCTCCTTGGCACCCTCCCTCCCCTTTTGGGGTCCTGTTAGTCCCTTGCTATCTCAGGGATAGTCTGGAGTCATCGCCCTGCCCAGCTACCTCCTTCCTCCTTTCCAATTGAGCAGTCATCATCCTTTGGACAACTATCTGTACTCATGGGATTGGGTCCTGGAAGCACCTGCAATCCTGCCAGTATCCAGATCAGATCAGCAGATGGTCAAGTCTCTTAAATAAAAACGAAGTCACATTTGCATAAAACCTATGCATATCCTGAGTACTTTAAACCCTCAGGTTACTTATTATACCTCACACAATCTACACAGTATGTGAGTAGTTGCATAGTAGCTGTATTGTTTAGGGCATAGAAACAAGAGACACCCGCCCTCAGCATGCTCATTCAGTAAGGATTCAATGTCCCCTAATACTTTCAACATGCCATTGGATGAACCCACATAAGTAAAACCGTCTTGGACGAAGACAGCCACCCGTGCTTACTCACTTACCTAGTTCGCTTCTAGTCTGGTTTTTGTTTGCTTGCTTTGAGGCAGCCCCACTAAAGAGCATCCTCTCAGCCAGCAAGCTTTTAGTGTGTGCCTGCCCTCAGAGAGGGCCGGTTTGGAGTTCACTCAACAAAGATTATCAAAAGAATTTTTGAAGACAACACTAGGGGCTAGCTCAGGTCTGAGGTGTGCTGGGATCCAGTACAGGTGAAGCCAGGAAGCACACAGGTTGGAAACAGTTTGGTTAGTCCGCATCCAGTCAGGAGGCAGAGAGAGATGGATGATGGTGCTCAACTCCCTTTCTCCTTTTCATTCAATTGAGGGTACAGCCTATGTTCAGTTAAACCTCTCTGTAAGTACAAGAGACACCCCTAGAGGTGTGTCAGATAGGCAACCTAAGTACTGTAGACTGACCATCACATGCTACAATCCTTTATACAAACACAGCTTTTCCCCAAGGCTGTACAAATTATCACGACTATAGTTGCACCCCACCCCAACCCCAGTTCTCACACATGTTAAACAACTATCAAGTTTTAAAGTACAGGCTAAGTCTGGGTTTGCAGTTCACGTTGGATGGTCGAGACAGGTGTCTCTGGAACCAGGGAGTAGTGGGCAGGCAGGGAAGCATCCGCTATATGCGCTCAGGTGTATTTTCTTGCTTTCTTCTGCTTTCTCCGAGAAGGCTCTTTAAATTCTAAGTTTGGGTCAGGTAGAAACACAGTCCAGCCCGCTTGATGATGCCATTCAGGAGGCTGGATGCTAGGAAACTTCCCGGTGAGTTCTCCAGGCGGGGGTGAGGGGGTGGGGGGCTGTCACTGGTGATCTCATTACCCTGCACACGCTGCTGCTTTTATCAACTTTAAAGCAAGAACTGCAACTAGGTAGGTTGATAGTTTCTTCCTCAACTCTCAATTTGATCACATTCCTTTCTTCCTTTTTTGGGGGGAGGGCGGGGTTTGAGACAGGGTTTCTCTGTGCCTTGGCTGTCCTAGAACTCGCTGTGTAGACCAAGCCTGCCTCTGCCTCCAGATGCTGTGATTAAAGGCGTGAGCCATCACTGCCCTGTTCATCACATCCTTTTCTACCTTCTATTCAAACAGCTAATGACATAGCCCCGTGTAGCCAATTTAAGATTCACAAACCCAAGAATATAGTAATCTTGTATTTATATAAATATGTAACTAACATCCCATTACATACACACCATGTTAAGCTTATGTAATTTTTTTTTTTTTTGTACTACACACAACCACTTTCCCTTCTTCTATCCCAAACAGGGTTCTACCTAACCATAATGAAACGGGTGAGATCTACATATTTTACCCTTTCACCTGCATTTTCCTAAGGCCTGTGCTGGCTCCTTTTAAACTGCAAAGTAGAAAATAACTGCAGGGCCACAGCTAAGGTCATCAGAGATACACTTTCCGTTTTCCCAGCAGCATCTGTACTTGCTGCTGTTTTGGGGAGTGGAACTTGGGTCCCAGCAGGCCCAATCTAACTGTTGTTTTCCCAGGCTTATGACGATTCCTCCTCCCGGTCACTTGGTGCTTATATGAGAAATGCATTATCCACTTCGGCCATGTAATAGAGGAGGGGTCCCAGGGTGCAGTACGTATGGACGCCCCCAACTGCATCCCGCCCCATCCTCAGAGTCTGTGCCACAGCTAGGGCCTACAAGACCCCACGCGTGTACAGCCAGGCCGCGTCCAGCCCTCGCACGCGTGGCCGCCTCAGCAAGCTGACGCAAGCCGGGTCGCGGGCACGCGCGCCCTCATTCATTCACTCCTTCATTCATTCTGCGGAGGCCGGCCGCTAGCCCCCAGCGATCCTCCGCCCGCGAGGTCCAGCGTGTCTGTGGAGACAGGACGCGGGGACGAAGGTCGGGCGGTGCCCGCTGACCAGCCGCAAGCGTCCCGGAGGCCGCACCCGCCTTTCCCGCCCACGAGGCCAGGGCTAGGCCGCCGCCCACGTGACGCACGGCCTCCCGCAGTGAGCGCATGCGCGCGGGAGCCCGCGCTCCGAGCCGGCTCAGGAGGACCTCCCGCTCGTCGTGCGTGCGCGTTCCTGTCCGCCCGCACCACGTGACCCGCCTCGCCTCTCCCGCCTTCTGCGCTCAGACCGACCAGACGAGTAGGACGGGCCGTGCCGGCGTGCGCGTGCACGTGAGCCGCGTGGTTGGGCGCGGCACCGTTGCTCCGCCCCTTTAGGCTCCGCCCCCTCTGCGCGCCGGCGTCCGCTGCGTCTCCGGCATTTGAATCGCGCTTCCGCCATCTTTCCAGCTTCAGTCGGACAAGCGCGGAGAATCTTTCGGAAGGTAGCGGTGGGGCCGGGAGGATTGGGCCCGGCGAGGGCGGCGGCGGGGGTGGGGGGTCCCTTCGGGTGGGCGAGGGGCGGCGGCGGCGAGGAGAGTGAACGGGCAGCGCCCCGGTTTTTCCGCCAGCTTCCCTTCCCTCCCCCCCCCCCACCGTCTCACGCCGCGTCCCCGCCTTCCCGCGCGCTCTTCCCGGCCGCGGCCTTTGTGGGGCGCACGTGCCGTAGCCGCTCTCTCCCGCAGGATCGCCGCGATGGCCGCCCAGGGAGAGCCGCAGGTCCAGTTCAAGGTGCGTGCGCGGGCGACCGGGGCCGTCGGGCGGGCGGGCGGGCGAGAGGGGAGGTCGGGAGGACGGCATGGCGAGAGGGAAGCGGGCCGCTCACGCTGCCTCCTCCTTAGCTCGTCCTGGTGGGCGACGGCGGCACCGGGAAGACGACGTTCGTGAAGCGCCACTTGACGGGCGAGTTCGAGAAGAAGTATGTAGGTAGGTGCGGCGGGGCCGCGCGGCTGCGGGCGGGGAAGTCGGCGGCCGTGCGTGGCTGACCCTGCCGTCCCGTTCCCGCAGCCACCCTGGGCGTGGAGGTGCACCCGCTCGTCTTCCATACCAACAGAGGACCCATCAAGTTCAACGTGTGGGACACAGCCGGCCAGGAGAAGTTCGGGGGCCTGCGCGATGGCTACTACATCCAAGGTGAGGGCCTGCGGAAGTGGGCCTGGCCCTCGGACATGTGCCTGGGGTGAGCCCGGGAGCCAGCCGTTGCCCGGTGACTAAGGAGGGAGGGAGATGGCGAGACGGAGGCGACCTCGTTTGCGTGGCTAGGAGAGGGTTTTTAGACGAGCCGTCCGTGGTGTCATTCGATCACATGCTGTGTCATGCTAGGCATGCTTTAGAGCAGACTGTGTGTCCTTACCGTTGAATAGGAGGCGGGGAAGCTGTGGGATCACTTGCTGGTTTCGAAACGCGTTTTAGGGTATATGTTCAGTGGTTACCCTTGAGTATTCCCGCCCGGAATACTAGCACTTGGGCTAGTTAGTAAAACCCAACCTCCAGCCCCAGGAGCCAGGCCCTCTCTAACACGTGAGCGACAAGCTACATCGTGTAAATTGTGCTTTTACTTTTCTCCTTGAAAGTGATTGGAAAATTTTAAGGAAAGGGAGGGTGTCAGGTGGTTAAAGAGAAATGAATGAAAGAAGTATTCTTGTGGACTTAATAGCCCGTTGGGAAAAAAAATTTGGAAGTTCTTTGGTTTCTTGCTGTGTTTTAGCATGTAAAGATACAAGGGTGTTTATCCTTGAATTGAAACTTTTATTCTTTTGAGTTCAAACTTTTTCTAGCCAAAAAACTGGACCATGCTTTTGCTGCCTCTTTCTTTAGTTTCTTGTGACAGGATTTCTCTCTGTAGCTTTGGAGTCTGTGCTGGAACTCACTCTGTAGATCAGTCTGGACTCAGACTCACAGAGCTCCACCTGTCTGCTGGAATTAAAGGCCTATACCACTGCTACCTGGCTTTTTTGCTGCTTCTTTAACTGTATCCTCAGCATCCCTGTAGGTCAGGCAATAGAGAGCTCTGGCCTCAGATTTTCTTAAAGGCATAAATCACTTCACCGTTTAAAGATTCCATTTCTAGGTGGCAGAGTGTTTTGCTCGCTATAAAGGAGGTATGTCTTCTAGAATGATGATGTACTATTTTACTTTAGACAAACTTGGAGGGCGGGGGTGATGATTAGGTGTCCAGAGGGAGAGAAAGGAGAAGGTAGTTGGAGTAGTAGGTCTTGACATTTGAACTTTCATATGAAGAGAAATTGGAATCGGTGCCTTGGATTGCATCTAACTTTTTTTAGTATTGAGGGGGAGACCTTCCGAAAGAGTGGTTTGATTGTGAGAGTCAGGGCTAAGATGATGAACCCCAGTAGACTAAAACATTTCAATCCCTTGAATGTCTTTCAGCCCAGTGTGCCATTATAATGTTCGATGTAACATCAAGAGTTACTTACAAGAATGTACCTAACTGGCATAGAGATCTGGTACGTGTGTGTGAAAACATCCCCATTGTATTGTGTGGCAACAAAGTGGATATTAAGGACAGAAAAGTGAAGGCTAAATCTATTGTCTTCCACCGAAAGAAGAACCTTCAGGTATGTTCATAATTTATTGAATCTTTTTTCTTTTTTGTTTTTCGAGACAGGGTTTCTCTGTAGCTTTGGAGCCTGTTCTGGAACTCGCTCAGTAACTAGGCTAGCCTCAAACTCAGAGATCTGCCTACCTCTGCCTCCTGAGTACTGGGATTTAAAGGCATGCACCACCATGCCTTTGATTCAGGGATATTGAATCATTCTTAGAGAATATATATATGTAAGGCACACGTGTGTCACGTAGGACCAGTGTGTGTTTTATGTGAATTACAAAATGTCTTTGAGTTTAAAGTGTCTTGGAATGGTGATCACTAACAGAAGTTTTTAAACATAAATTTCCTTTTGTTATAAACAGTACTATGACATTTCTGCCAAAAGTAACTACAACTTTGAAAAGCCTTTCCTCTGGCTTGCCAGAAAGCTCATTGGAGACCCTAATTTGGAGTTTGTTGCCATGCCTGCGCTTGCCCCACCTGAGGTGGTCATGGACCCAGCTTTGGCAGCACAGTACGAGCATGATTTAGAGGTATTTGTCCTTATTAATTTTCTTTCTGGTGTGTATGGGTATGTGTTTGTGCTTTGCCTGATGCCTGCAGAGGTCAGAAGCTGACATTGGATCCTCCCAGCCATGTAGATACTTGGAATCAAGAGCTGGCGGTGCTCTTGACTGTGGAGCCATCTTCCGGCCCCATTTGTCCTTAGTGCTTATGTTTGACTTGGTCATGGCAGTTTTGATCTTACGTGTTTCCTTTTTGTTTCTTGTTCCAGGTTGCTCAAACGACTGCCCTCCCGGATGAAGATGATGACCTGTGAGAAAGTGAAGCTGGAGCCCTGTGTCAGAAGTCTAGTTTTATAGGCAACTGTCCTGTGATGTCAGCGGTGCAGCGTGTGTGCCACCTTATTTAGCTAAGCAGATCGTGTACTTCATTGGATGCTGAAGGAGATGAATGGGCTTCGGAGTGAATGTGGCAGTTAAAACATACTTTTTTTTTTAACATACCTTCATTTTTTTTGGACTTGCATATTTAGCTGTTTGGAACACAGTTGTTTCCTAAATTTCAAAAATAAGACTGCTACAGTCACATCGCACTATTAAGTCAGTGGTAAAATCTTGTTCCTGTCATTCCCATTCTTTTTGTTTAGAATCAGAATAAAGTTGTATTTCAAATAATCTAAACAAGTGAATCATCCCTTGTTTATAAGCATTTTAAAGCTAACGTAAGGAAGCTTGTGCCATACTACAGTTAAAAATGCCTTTGCTTAGTACTTCTGAGGTTCATTCAGATATGTTTTCCTGTGCCTACCTTCACAGACATTTGGATCAAGTCGTGACCTGACGCTTGTCTTACAGGTGTAAATACTGCGGTTCAGCTAGGATATCTGCCCTACCTGCATTTTGCTAGGTAGTTTCACCTAAAAGAATAACTTGTTTAAAGTTGTATGTGTGAATCAGATGTTTTAGTGTAAGGGCTATAGTCGAAGTGTCTGTAACCTAGACCTTCAGAAGTTAGAACTGCCTTTGATGGAAGGAAGCTTGAGGATTTTCTGACATGTATGTTTCTTGGTTTCCCTGTCTAATGTTGGTTCTCTAAAATGTTCTCGGCTTTTGAGTGGTGGTCTCAGCCAGCATTCAGGAGGCAGAGGCAGGAGGATCTGAGTTCAAGGCCAACCTAGTCTACCAAGCAAGTTCCAGAACTGCATAGAGAGACCTGTCTCAAAAGAAGTGTTCATGGTAGGTAGGCTGTGGCCCAGCATCTGATTCCCAGAGATTGTTTATAGGCAGCACAGGAAAGGAAAAGCTAGATTACTGCTGTAGATTTGCCTGGGCATCTGATGTGAAAATGTCATTTGAGCCTGTTTGTTAGGTGTGATCCTGTCAGAACTATGGTGTGGTAACATGTATTTAAAGGAATCCTTGTGTGGGCTCTTGCTAGTTCAATCTACCAAAGTTATTTTGATTTCCCCCCACCCCCCAAGGTTTCTCTGAACATTCTGGACTGTCCTGTAACTAACTCACTTTGTAGACTAGGTTGACCTTGAACTCAGAGAGATCAGCCTGCCTCTGCCTCCGAAGTGCTGGGATTAAAGGCCACCACTGCCCAGCTCTACTACCAAAGTTCTTAAAAGTGTGGACTACTTTATCTCCAAAGAAGGTTGAGTAATGAGGCTGAAAGGAAGTTGTGCTGTGCACCAGCTTTTACTAATTTTAAGATGCTATGTATATGCTATGCTAAAATCAGGTGAAGACCCTCTCCCCTGACTGGGATAAAACTTCATTTAGATCTCTTAAATTAATATGCTGTATGTAAACCTGATGTAGAATGCAAATACCTTATGACTCTGATTTTTGTAACAGTTAAACTTGAGAACTACTTCATGTGTGTTTAACCAGAGTGTAGAAGATTTACATCATTTATTGAAAGAACTTGAAAATATATATTGCTTCTGCTTTGCCTAGTTTTCTGAGTCATCTCGTATTTGCTGTAGGAGTAAGTAGTGAACGGCTTTTTCCTTTTTTTTTTTTTTAGGATTTGAGGTTTGATCTGCCAAATAGCAGAGATCTCCTTATTTTATCCAGTTCTTTTTTGTTTTTTTTTTTTTGCTTTTCTCTGTAGTCCTGACTGTCCTGGAACTCCAGGCTGGCTTCAACAAGTCTGCCTGTGAGTTCTGACTTTAAAGGCATATGCTATTCAGTTTTTATGTGTGGAGATAGTGCTCTCCCATTTTGTAAAAGCATCCCTGAATAGATGGCTTTATATTAATCAGTTAGTGTACAGCCGATAGAGGTGGCTGAATCAAAGTCGCTGAGGAGAAGTTGAAAAGTTGGGTATTTAAGAAACGGGGTTTCTTTGTTTTGTTTTTTTAAGATTTATTTATTACATGTACAGTGTTCTGTCTGTATGTATCCTGCAGGCTAGAAGAGGGTACCAGATCTTACACATGGCTGTGAGGCACTGTGTGGTTGCTGGGAATTGAACTGAGGACCTCTGGAGGAACAGGCCGTACTCTTAACCGCCGAGCCATCTCTCCAGCTTCTAAACAATTTTATAGACTTCAGGGGGTTTTGTTTTTTGTTTTTTCGAGACAGGGTTTCTCTGTAGCTTTGGAGCCAATAAAACTCAGTGGTTCACTAAGTCTGACTTTTGGTAGTATTCATAAAATTTGGTCTGTTGTGGGTTCTGTATCTGGGGTGAATAGATGTGTGTGTTATGTCTTCCCAGAAGTTTTGTAACATAGGAGGTTGTACCAAGTAAGGGTATGTGGAGATGACCAGGTCCTGATGGCAGTCCTCCAGGTGCAGAAAATGGGCCTTCAGATTTCTAGGAAAGGGTGCTAGTAGCAGAATCCTAGAGGCAGCCTAGGCCAGTAAACCAGTAGCCAGTTTGTGGGTAACACTTTGCTTTTTTCCCAACCCTGGCATGTCTCAGTCCCTTCCCCATGCTTTCTGACCAGTGAAGAATAACTCACTGATATTTTGCTGTTACCTTTCAAATGTTTTCTCAAAAGACAAGGGACCAGCAAGAGGCTTGGCAGGTAGAAGTCTTAGCAACCAAGCCTGAGGACCTGAGTCCGATCTTCAGGACTCAGGAGTGGAAAGAGAACCAACTCCTGAAAGTGGTTCTCAGACCTCTGCAAGCATACAGTAGCATACAACACACATATTTAAATAAATGTAATAATAAACCTGCTTTCAAAAGAGATGAAATTAGCTGGTCAGTGGTGGGAAATTAGCTCCCAGCTCTTGGGAGGCAGAAGCAGATGGATCTCTGAGTTCGAGGCCAGCCTGGTCTACAGAGTGAGTTTGAGGGCAGCTAACACTGCACAGAGAAACCCTGTCTTGGAGGTAAAAGATGAAATTGTACTTTAATTCTGCTTCATTCATTTTTTTCTTTTATATAGCCGTTAACTAGTGACCCACAGCATGGATGAACACAGATCAGTTTGACCAGTTCTGCATGTCTGGCCTAGGTGCACCGTGTACGTGCTCTGCTTTGTCTTGGGCATCTTTCACAATGGTGCTCCTCTTCTGCTAAAGCTACAGGCTTGGTTGGGCTAGGCCAGTGTTTCTCAGCCTATGGGTCACGACCCTTCCACAGCAGCTATTTACATTACAGTTCCTAACAGTAGCAAAATTGCAGTTAGGAAGTAGCAACAAAAGTAATTTTGTCTTTGGGGGGAATCACTGTAACATGAAGAACTGTATTAAAGGTCCAAACATTAGGAAGGTTGAGAACCACTGAAATAGGCTAATACTCTATCACAGGACTCCAATCCAGTGCTGAGTGGACTGGCTGTGATCTCTAAGTGTTTTACAGTTTCTGTGTTTTACATTTGTGAGACACTAACTGTCAATGGTCTTACTTTCTAAAAAGTACACATTGCCTAATGAAAGAGAAATGTTGAAATTACTATTTTGAGGCAAGATTTCTCATAGCCCTCTCTAGCCTCCAATTTGCTGTATAGTCAGGGATTACTTTGAACTAACCTTCCTGCCTCTACTTCCCAAGTGCTGGGGTTACAGATGTGCACTGCTACATCCAGTCTTGGGGATTTAAAGCAAGTGAGGCAGGGGCTGGAGAGATGGCTCAGAGGTTAAGAGCAATGGCTGCTCTTCCAGAGTTCCTGAGTTCCTTTCCCAGCAGCTATGTGGTGGCTCACAGACACCTGTAATGAGATCTGGTGCCCTCTTCTGGCGTGCAGGGATACATGCAGACAGAACGCTGTGTACATAATAAATAAATCTTAAAAAAAAAAAAACATAGGAGGCAAGTGTCCCACCCACCACTGAGCTATATATAGTCCCAGCTGAACTACCTTTTAATTGTTTTTTGTTTGTCTAAATTTTGGTTGTTTTTAGGTGGGGGTGCCAATATCAGTGTGCGTGTAGAGGTTAAATGAAGGCTTATGAGAGCAGGCTCCTTTCACTATGTGTGTTTCAGGGACCAGGCTGTGACTTGTATGTCAAGTGCCTTTCTCAGATGAGTCATCTCAATGGCCCATCCTTCCCTCTCCCCCTTTGAGACAGTCTCATCATGTATCCCAAGCTGGCCTCAAACTCATGATCCTCCTATATCCTGGCTGCTGTAATTACAGATGTGCACCACCATTCCCAAAAGACTGTGTGTAATGTCACTATGTCACCAGCAGCTTTCGGTGTCCATCTCTGGACAGACTGAGTCAAACACACAGAGTCCTACCCTCCCTTGGACATGTAACTACAATTCCTGTGTGTGTCCTCAGACTTGCACAAGACAAGGTGTGTGTGTATGTGCTCTTAGTCCCTACCACTGCATGTTCGTTTGGAGCTCAGAAAACTGTGGCTGGTGGCAACGATGGTGGAGTGTAGGCATGGATTTTTGTTTTGTTTCGAGACAGGGTTGCTCTGTGTAGTCCTAGTTGTCCCAGAACTCACTCTGTAGACCAGACTGGCCTCAAACTCAGAGATCCACCTGCTTCTGCCTCTCAAGTGCTGGGATTAAAGATGTACACCACCACCACACAGCGTGCTTTGCCTTCTATTCTGGCAGTAGTTGGCAGATATTTGGTAACTGATAGTTGGGCTGAGACTACCAGATATTTGGTAACCGACTGAGACTACCAAACTTTCCTAAAATGACTTGACCATTCCTACAAACAGCCTTATTGCCAAATCATAATTTTGAGTCCCTGTAGTTACAGAACTGGATCAACTTTGCCAGAACATAGATTGTTAATAAATTGATCCCTTAATAATTTAGTCACCTTCCTCCATGCACATGGGGCTGCTATACTATTCTCTGTCACTGGTGTCCCCAGTCCCCCCCACACCGGAAGCTCTAATATCATCCGTTAATGACTAAAAACATCAGCGCAGCCCTTACTTAACCTAGGAGGGAGTGATGTGACCTCATGCCTGAACGCACCACTGCCCTACACACAGTTGGAGATCTGATGGAGGCAGGGAATGGCTGTGGGGTGGTCATTTTCTGTCACATATTGTATAAGAATTAGTGAATTTTCAAACAGTTCTAATTCATATTTTTATATAATTTCAATGAGCATTTTTGTATACACAGCTTGAATGTTTCCTCCTTTTTGGTAGCGATGGCATCCAGAGTCTCTGCTTTCAGCTGCACACAGGCCTGTTTGGTTAGCCTTTGCCAGTAGCAGTGAGACTGGTTGGCCAGAACTTAGGAA